TAGCTTAGAAACTGGAGTGTCTTATGGCTTACGAAGGGCAGGATTGTGAACAGCACCGAAAGGTCTCCAAGATGGCTGGTTCAATTCCAAACCGCCTGTAAAATCACGCTCAAGGCGCACGACGACTCATGCGAAACTCCTCGCGCGACGCATTCCATTTTAGGAAGTGGTCGAGTTTTTGTTCGGTACGACCACAGTTTATGTATTTGTGCATTATTAGAAACGAACAACGACGCGGCCACATTTCAACATTTTTAATCATTCCAGCGATCGCGCACTTCGTCAAAAATATAACTAACCATCAAAACATGCCACGCAACGGCAACCACACCGTCCAGTTTCGTCGCAAAGCTTCGTGTGCGTACGATAGGCGGTGATGGCGGCAGTCTGCTCCAGGATGAATCCGCGCGATACGAAAGGCCCTGCGTGCCAACGACAGGCGGAGAGCTGACAGATCACGGGGGCCCGCCGCTGCCGCCAGGTTGGCACACTTGCATCCAGCGGCACGCGAGAGAGAAACAGCGACCGGATCGCCACTGGAGCCCGCGGGTCAATAATGCCCTGAACGCGGCTGTCGCAATTGGTGACCCGGTCACCAAAACCGCGCCAGTCCAGCGTTCGAGCAGTCGCCCGCCGTCGGATTATCGCTGACGATCCTCGGTGGCGATCATGGTCCTAAAGTGTATGACATCTGTATCTTGCTTCAGTGACACGCAACCGTCCCACCCCCGACCGACAAGCAAAGTAGCTTATGGGGAAAACGTGGAACAGGGGTAAGGAGTTAACGAACCTCGGGGCGTAATAAGGTAGTGACGAATAATATGCAAGCAGAAAAGGATGGAGCTGCACTTTTTGACAACATGGTTACGTGCGTCTCGCAAGAAGGGCGCTTTCAATAGCAACACCTCCCCCCTCCCCCCCCCCCCACCATATTTTCACAGGCGGCCGAAGAGCCTTATTTACGCCAAGCAATGTCAAGGTAATAAGATATCAGGTTTTCCTCAGTGATTCTGGAGTGACGAGAAGCAAAAGGGCTGAATTGGAGGACTTCATTCCAGATGAGTTAGATGCGAAGAAGGACTGGGTTAGATCACTTGGATGCCATCCTCCTGTCGGCTTTTTAAAATAGATGGTTGGTCAGGGTGAACGGAGTCTAGCAGTCAGGTCTGGAACGGCGTTCGTGATATGCTGAAAAGGATAATGCGGACCGAGAATCCTTGAGAAACCCCGTTAGTCAGCGGCCAGCCAGGGGCGGATCCACAGGAGGGGGAGGGGGCACGGGGCCATGGGCCCCCCTTAGGCCCCGAAGGGGCCCATTGGCTCCGAGGGGCCCATAGCCGGGCGACCAGGTGGAGTTCTTTTTAACGCAAAACGCAACAAAACTGGGCACCTGTACTTCCAGGCGACCAAAAACAGTTGTAAGCAAAAGTGAAGGGTCTATGAGAAGTCAAAACAAATTGTTCAATGATTAGAAAAGCTGTGAACTGGAAATTTCAAGCCCCATTACACTGTCTATGGGCCCAGGCAGTTTCGGGGGGACCTATACACGCATTGCGGGATCATTTCCATTGTTAAGGAGCATTCCACGCTGCCTTTCACTTCTTAGCATTTGCTCGGAGGGCCCCACGCTGTTGCTGGGACCCTTCCTGATAGCGTGCCGGGCCATTCTTGTCAATCACGGGTCCTTCCACGGATTTATTTCAGTCGCCCGGAAGGCTCTGTGAGCTATAGCCGGGGTATTTTCGGTTGCTCAGGGGCCCTTTATGTAGGCCCCGGTTAACCTACCGACACACTTGCGATATGCTCATGGGCCCTCTTCTTTGGTCTAGGGTATTTTCAATTCTCTGTTACTTGCTTAGGGCCCTAAAATATTGTCAGGGGCCCATCTGATGGTCTGCTTGGGCACACTCAGTCCTTCGGGAGCCCTCCACACTGGGTGTTGGGTACTTCTTTTCTGAATGGGGGCCCTACGCTCTTGTGGCAATGCCTATCTGATAACCTGCTCGCGCACACATTCGATCGTTCGCGGGCGCTCTACACTGGACCTTGGCCTCGTGCTATTTGAATGGGCCCCTACGCACTTGTCAGGGTCGCCTCTGTTTGCCTCCTCGGCTGCACTGCATTGCTTGGGGGGCTCTGCGCATTGGTTCTTGATGTTTAAATTTAGTCATCTGCTCTTATCGGGGCCATCTGATAACCTGTTTGGGTACAACCCATCTTTCGGGGCCCTCCGCACCGGGTTTTGGGTACTTCTTATTTGAATGGAGGGCCTCAAGCTCCTGTCGGATCCCCTTCTGATAAGATGCTCTGGACCATTCGATCGTGGGCCACCTCTACGTCTGGTTTTGGGTACTTCCTTTTTGAATGGGGGCACCTCGCTTTTTTCGGGGGCCCTGTCTGTTAACCTGCTCTGGCGCGCTCAATTATTCGCGGCCCTCTACATCGTGTCGTGGGTATTTCATATTTGAACAGAAGGCCCTTTGCTCTTGCCGGGGCCCCATCTGTTAACCTGCTTGGGCATACTCGAATATCCGGGGGCCCTCCGCATTGTGTCTTGGGTACTTCCTACCTGAATGGAGGGCCCTACGCACTTGTCAGGGACCCTATCTGTTTGCCTCTTTGGCTACACTGGGTTGTTCGGGGGCCCTGTATATTGGGTATTGGAGTTTGAATTTAGGGCCCTACATTCCTGTTGGGGCCACATGATAATCTGCTGGGGTACCCTTCATTTTTCGGGGGCCGAACGGACCCAGTTTTCTTACAACAAAATTGGACGCCTTTGGACCTACAAACGACTAAGAACAATTGCTACCAAATGTAAATAACTTATGAAGAGACGAAGTAAATTTTTCCCGATTGAAAAGGCGTTACTTGGGGGGAAATTTGGCGGCTCATAATGCTGTCCAGAGACGTTACGCTGCTGCCCGGGCCCTATATGTCTACTTGCCGAGCCAATCTGATCGCTAAGGAGCTTTTCATGCTACCTTTGATCTCTCTGCATTTCCTCGTAGGGCCCAACGCTGCTGTTGGGACGCTATCTGCTTCAATGCCTGGGTACTCTTGATCGATGAGGTTTTCCTGCATGGATTTTTCCCACTCGTCAAAAATGCTCTATTCACTTTTCCGGAACCCCGTATGTCAGGGTACACTCAATTGCTCAGGGGCCCTTCATATAAGTCTCCAGTTCTTTCCACTTACTTGGAGGGCCTCGTGCTGTTCCTGGGGCCCTAATAAGGTAAGGCGTCAAGACACTCGATGTTCAGGGGCCCTCTACCTTGATCGAAGGATCTTTCCCTTTGATCTCAGTTGTGGAGGATTCTTCACTCCTATCGAGGCCCTTTTTGTTAACGTGCTCGTACACCAATGATCGCGCAGGGATATTAATTCGCGGTCTTGGGTAATTCCCCTTTGCTCAAAGGGTCTTGCACTCTGGGTGAGGCAGCACATGTCAGCCCGCCGGGGCACTACCGATCGTTAAGGAGACCACCCCGTTGGTCTTGGGCTCTTTTTGCTTGCTCTGAGGATCATATACTTGTTGACGGAAGCCACTTTGTTGGCCTTCTGCAGCACCCATGATCGCTCAGGTTTCGTTCCAAATGCCCTCGGTGCCTTTGCCTCAGAGCAGTAGCCGAATATGCGTCGATGGATTTTTACGCGCAATTGCCGAACGCAGTTTTACAAGTCGTCGACGTCGTATGTGTCATTTCCATCGACTATTGAGTGTGTGACACTTATCATATTAGTGCATCACGCTCTAAACGTACTTTGACCGCTAGGATATGTTGTACTCCTTTATAACAAAGGAAAAATTTTGCGTTAGTCATCAGCCATCAGCTGATTACATCGCCCAGCCGGCTAGCGGTAAAAACATAAGCTAGGAATCACGTCCGTGCTTGGTTTTGATGGCTGTTAGCAGCCAGCTCAAGTTTACTTTGCCTTTTGTTCCGGAACACTTAGCCTGAAAATCACGGCACTTTACACGGCCTGTAGAAATTGAGTGAATTCTATGTGTATGAATTAGTAGCATGCCAGCTTTATAGAGCTGTGCACAGCAAGATGGGTTTCCGTATTTATTAAATAAATGAATAAGTATATATATTACATATGACTTGTCTTAAAATGTAATGACCAGAAAGCAAGAATATTTTTTTGGAGTGGGCCCCAAGCTTCTGGGAGCCCCACAAAGTTGCGTGCCCCCCCCCCCCCCCCCCCCCCCCATTGACAAAATCCTGGATCCGCCCCTGCGGCCAGCCACCTGCCGTCAACCAGCACGTAGCTCTCAAATAAACTCTACCATACCACCGCAGCTTTTTCCGAAGGGCGCCATGATCAACACCAGCAAGGAAACGGCTGAGATCAATCGAGGTGGCGGCAACGATGTGACTGACGTCAATCCGGCGCACCGCCCACTCGACCAGTTAAAGGAATGTGCGCGTCCAAGCCGCACTGTCACTGGTTGGCTGACGACCCGATCCTGCGAGAGCTCATGCCCGTTGGAGATCCCTGCGGCTAATGGCTCTTTTAAGCAACGATAGCCGGTACCCTTCCAGTGACGGAGCGTTCGTGATTAGCTAAAACACCGGCCGGCATGACGCAAAACAAGATCGCAATTGACGGAGACGCACGGGTGAGTACGAGATCAGGAAAGCAGCGTACACGACACTAATTTCAAACCCCATCACCAATTGTGGCGTAAACAGTCCAAAGAACAACCAGCTCTGAGAAAAATTCGCAGAAATCCGGCCAGAGCACTGCTTTGAATTTCATGAGTCTGCTGTTTTCAGTTGACCCTTACCTTACGGTTTTTTTACCTCACGGCGTCCTGGAAACGGGCTTTTTTAACAAAATAACTGCGAAGTCAAAAAAGCAAGGGCTGGAGGCACTTCTAGCTGGTGGCACGCTGTTTGTTACTCGACGCTTTGTACCAAATCCAAGATCCAGCAAGTCGTCAAATCTCCATGAAATCCTTGTGAAACGCACAACTCAGCAAAACATGTATTAATTGCACTTCGTTCACGAAATCTGACTTGCACACCATCCCTAAGCCCGCACCGTCATCAGCTATCGAAGCAGCGCTGGTCGGCGTCGAGCCCACTGAGGAAGCCGTTGTAGAACTCCTCGCCACTCATGGCCGGCTTGCCCTGCAGCTGCAGCCGCGGCAGACGCAGCCAGCCGTCAGCGCAGCGCACGAGCAGCGCGCGCCGGCGCCGCTCGAAGCGCAGCAGGCCGGGCCGCGCCGCCTCCGCCGGCACCGCGCCGTCATCGTCGCCGAGCGCCGGCAGCCGGACACGGCGACAGCGCCAGGATGCCGTCAGCGGGCCGGGCAGGGCGCGGCTTTGGCGCAGCAGCGCCGCCGCCGGCCGCGTCCACTCCACGCGGTAGTCGGCCGCCGTCAGACGCGGCGCTGCAACAGGGACTGGCCGGCTGACGGGTCGGCAGCGGCGTCCGAAGAGAGGGGGGGGGGGGGGCTGGGACGAAGGCGGCGGGACTAATGGAGTGGGGGTGAGACAGAATCACAGCATACAGGGAAACATGACATTGTGCCTAATGACAGTGCGTAGGCAGAAAGGGAACCAGATGCCTGCCTCAGTCAGAATAGTTTACATAATGCTTCTGCATGCACGCAACACATACTGCGCCGACTTTAAGCCCTTTCTAGACAGGCCGACGTAGTACGGCCGGAGACCCCTTCTGCTCGGTCGATATTCCATCTGGTCGGTGGCAAGTCTCGTGTGGCCCCGCTCACCGAGCGTGACACCCTCCTCCGGCTGAGGCCGTGCGCCACGCAGGCTGGCCGGCAGGTCGTCCAGGCACCGCTCCAGCAGGGCGGCGCCCCGCTCGGCCAGCTGCTCCGTCAGCTGGTGCACGTCCGCCGACGCCGCCACCGGCAACGTCGACTGCGCCAGAACGTCCCCGACGTCAAACCTGCGCGCGTCACCAGTCAGGCCGATTCGAGTCGGTGAGTGATGGGGAGGGGGGAGCCGGCAGGCATCCGCCCCCCCCCCCAAAAAAAAATCGCCGGTAGATGGACAGCGGGTGTGATACTTGAGCGGCGAATAGTTAGTTGGTAGAAGTAGATGTACGAAAACAGCGGACGTGGCATGAAATGTACCCATTTCAGTCATGATCTCCCTTCAACTCAACACTGTGAGCAGACCGAAGTCAGCAGATGGAAGCTCAGTCTGCACTGCAGGCGAATTGCCGAGCTGTTTGAAGTCGTACAGAGTGCGTCACCCTCTGCCATGCAGACCTTGTAACAGCCGTGCCAATGTGCAGCAGCGCACACTCCAACTGGACTATTCTCAAGTCAGCGAGTGGCATGCGGCCAGCCTCAGCGCACGTGCCAGCCGCTTGAGTCGGCCGACCGGACGAGACTCGCCGCCGGAGCCGATCGACCGGACGAGACTCGTCGCCGGAGTCGGCCGACCGGACGAGACTCGTCGCCGAAGTCGGCCGACCGGACGGGACTCGCCGCCGAAGTCGGCCGACCGGACGGGACTCGCCGCCGGAGTCGGAGGACCGGACAAGACTCGCCGCCGGAGTCGGCCGACCGGACGAGACTCGTCGCCGATGTCGGCCGACCGGCCGGGGCTCGCCGCCGGAGTCGGCCAACCGGACGAGACTCGTCGCCGAAGTCGGCCGACCGGGCGAGACTCGCCGCCGGAGTCGGCCGACCGGACAAGACTCGCCGCCGGAGTCGGCCGACTGGACGAGACTCGCCGCCGGAGTCGGCCGACCGGACGGGACTCGTCGCTCACCTGTGGGGCTTGACGACCATGATGGTGACGCCGGTGGTGCGGTCGCCGGCCAGCAGGGCGTGCACCACCGGCGCTGCGCCGCGCCAGCGCGGGAGCAGACTCGCGTGCACGTTGATCACGCCTCTGCCGGCGGAGGGTGGAATGCCACGGTGCAGTAGGGAGTGACGCCATGTCGTAATAGGATTTGCAGGTCGGAGTAACCCCATTGTGTGCTTCGCCCATCCACAGTTGATGAGAACGCACTTTTGGCATTGGCGTGAGTCACATGAAGCAGTGTCACAAGTACTTGGGAAGCGTCGTAGCAAGGAGAATGAATACCGGTTGAGCTTCCAATTCTGAGAACGCGTCAACGCCCTTAGGCCACTAACGTTTTGAGACTCTGGCTCAGAGCACGCTTTGCAAACACTTTGACGGTACGCCCACAGCGGACCAGTGTTTGATTCCCGGCCGATAAAATGGGCTGCCACTATGAGCCATAGATTATTAAATGGAATCGGTTGATCTTGACTCAAAAACAGTCCCTCAACAATGCCTTACTCTAACTCCGCCTAGTCAGGCGCGAGTACACCCCGACATACGCGACCTTCTTGTCACACGCGACCTTGTCAACTTTGTAACTGTTCAACAAGCACGAGCACGGAAAACAGGTCAACGTCGTCATCTGACCATGTCCCAAGACCATGACTCCAACCGAATGTCAGCTGGCCTCGCTGACGGCATGCCCGAGGCCAGGCCCGTCATAGCCGCCCACAGCCCCCATCTGGCACGTACGCGGGGAACAGATCGATGAGCCGGCGCGGCAGCAGGTGGCCAAACGAGGCGACCACGCCCAGGTCGAAGCGGCCGGCGGCCAGCTGGGGCGGCCAGTCCAGCACAGGCAGGCCGTTTTGCTCGGCGTACTGCCGCACCGCCGTGCGCCCGGCGCGAAGGCGCACGCTCACCACAGCCAGGTCCGCAAGCTCGCCCCGCTCCCTGCCGACGGCGGCGCGCCAGTCAAATCAGAACGGACATGCAACTTCCATGTTCTGAAGGTGGTGTCAGCTGTCTTTAGGAGAAATTGTGCAAAGATGTAAGACATTGTATGCTGGATGTTACAGGCAAAGAAAGACCAGTTAGGCCAGGTACAGTTATCCCTATGTAAATTGCAGTGGTGGCTGACACGGTCACAATTTTCTACATGACCAGGCCAGCATAGCATACCAAGATGATGTAGTCAACCTTAGACCCTATCTGGGTCTTAGCTGGTGCAGACACACATTTGCTGAACAAACTAACTCAAAAGTTTGAAACCTGGGAAGTGGCATCTGATATATTGGTGGGCAAAACAAAGTGATCTCACCAGCAAACAATTTTGAAGATGCACACACAATACAAACCTTTTGGAATGCAGCATTTGTAAGGAGGGAATAGCAAAGTTGTCTGACCCAAAATACAGAATGCTCATTGGTTTTGAAATGCATTGCCCTGGAGGCACTTTAAATCCTCCTGATACAGTGCATTGTTTGCAGATTTGAATGGAAAGGAAAGATGTAAATAATGATATTTTGGGCTCTTTGAGCATTCTTGAATAAGTTTTTGTGAATGCCCTGGCCATTTTTGAATGGGCAGTATTCAGCCCCCATCCAGCCTGAAAATACAAATAATCAAAAGCAAGAACATGATTGCACAGGAAAGACCTGCTGACATACATGATACATGAATGGGCACACTGCAGAAACACAGCAAATGCTTCATTAATTATTGTAATACAAAAGGTTTAAGAATACCAATGCCACAGACTATACATGATACAGCATGTTCAATGCATAACAGAAGTAACCAGAGGTGCTAAAAAGAAAAGCCACCTCAATCATATGGGGGAAAAGACAACAGGCTCCTTATCCGGCAGCACCGGGTGAGAGTTCCGGGGCAGATGCATTATTTGGCCTCAATGGTAGGAAAGATCAGCTGACAACTGGCCAACATGGTCAATGCAAACTTGGGACAGGCAGCTGCAACAATGTGTTAAGTGCAAAATGATCCTGTTACATCCTGAAAGACAGAGGTACAATTGCACTCTAAAGTGGACTGGCTTAGCTTAGGTGGGGGTTCAGGGCACAGGAGCTTTCCTTAGGGAGTGCTCTGATCCCAAGCAAGCTCTACCAAACATTGGTAAGTAATATCCTGAGAATAAAAGGCACTGAGAAGCTACAGTTTCACAGCTTGTCCTGCATTGGAGACAACTATTACTAATGTCTCCTTTGGGCAACAATTGACAAGACATTATTTTGTCAATCAGTTTGGGGAAATTCAGAAAATTAATTTAGGTAGCAGACCATTAAGGATATTTGTTTAGGGAAATTCAGAAAAACAAGTTAAGTGACAGAGACTCTAACAGTAAATCAAACAAGCCATTATGTGAGTCACAACCAGATATAGCATGCACCCTAAATTTGTAACCAATCAAATTACCTACATATCCCATTTCTCATTATCTTAATCTAAACCCAGATAGAATGACCCAACCAAAACTGTATGCATCACTGCACTGCCGATAACCTCGAACATGTCCTTATCCCTTGTTATTTACAACAAGATGCAGGCGATGGAAAATGTTATCATATACCAGCAAGAAAAGTCTCATGCGGCTCTTCAGCTTAATATCATCATAACTCAGTGTAACTGTTTCAGCCAGCAAGAGGTTTTTTAACGGGCCTGAAGTGACGTCCAGAGGAAATTTGCCTCTGAAGGTCACGCAAAACGTCATGTTTGGTGGGGCAAAATTGTTTATTAGTACACTCAACTCTCACGCCGCCCCGGAGGTGAGTTGGTTCACTCCGCCACTCATACAGCCGGCAAAGCATAACGATTGTCTCGAGCGCGTTAGTTACGCTTTCTGAACCATGTCTGTGAAATAGGCGATTTATTCAGCGATTTTTTCAGCGACGAGTTCCGATTTCTCTGAAAAAGGGTCTCAAGGTCAATCCTGGCATGAGAACACCAAAAAATGGGCAGTTCCTTGTGCAGCTATTTTACACGCTGTGATTTATTTCCAGGTGTTCTCTGTCTGACATTTACATTCTAAGTTTACCGTATAGATATATCAAACATCTTCTCATGTGACTTCTTGTAGAAACACGGCATGCAGATAATTGTGCGGCAAGCAACGCAGAAAGTCATAGGCTGCGCGTATACACCCTTCAAAACGGAGGGCGGTTACGCACCTGGCTTATACACCCTCCAAAACGGGGGGCGGTTACGCGCCGGGCTTATACACCCTCCAAAATGGAGGGTGGCTACGCACCGGGCTTATACACCCCCCAAAAATCTTTCAGGTGGTTGTGCGTGTCAAGCATACGCGAATTGCCAGCCTTGGAGGAAAGCAAGTGCAAACAAGCAGAATCCCGTGTGAAAAGTCGACTCTATGCGTGATAGGCATCAAACGATCACGAAATCCATCAACTCACTATGAACCAGTCATATTCTGATCACAAATTTTCGGCCACCGGGCCAGCATCTCCAGTGGATGGATGGTTATCATGCTGGTCTCGCACGTAGTAAGCCCGGGTTCGGATCTCGATAGCAGCCGCTGCTGAGTGGGTGGCTTCATGGTCTACCGGCGTGGCGTGATGATGCCAATTCGCTTCACTTCTAAGCGGAATGGATTCTAATCTGGGTTTTTCATATGGGACAGTAGCGTATTTTCTAATGCCCGGGGTAGGACTAAAGATAAAGAGGACTCCCTCCCTCCAGGGGAGGTAGTCCACACCCTACAGAGATATTGAGAATCCCGTGAAAGTTGACCGCTAAATCTAAATGAGGCCAGCAACTTGTGTAACCATAGACAGTCCTATTTCATCTGGGAATGTTCAGCCGTGAGTCAGAATCAATTAATGAAAAGTTAGGTGCACACTACCCTTCCGGGCAATAGCTTAAAGACCATTACGTCCCAGTCCGGGGTGTCTACCAGCTGCCATTCTCGCGACATGGAGGCGGGTTCGCCTGATGAGCTCGTCTGGAGGCCCTCACAAATGTACGTCCTACATTGGTGTCCTCTCTGGCGCGGAAGGCACTCTGGCGGCTTCTGGCCGGGACATTTGACCCGTAAGAGGCGCAAGAGCCCTCATTGGGGCAACAAGATCTCTGATAACTGCAGGTGATCCAATAACTGGCACAGAGATCCATGTTTGGCCAACGAACCCTTGGCTAAAATGGAGTGAAGGGCCCCGCAAGGGGCCCGGGTCACCCCTGGCCGACTCAGGACTCCTTCCGTCACAGGACCCCCTGCTGGGCATTGGGGACCTGGCCGTCAAAAGACCACTTATTGCTGAAGGGACTCCGACCAATGCAAATCACGGGCCTCAATCTCGTTCCTGCTAGAGAAATGGGACCCCAGGGTTCAGAACAACACGGAGTCAACCATTCGGTGTAGTGGTCGTCTCCGGCCGAAATAAATGCCCGCACTGTCCCAGGGGTCCACAATCGGCCACAGAGGCATATTGGCTGACATTTGGGATCACAGCCATGCGGGCCCGGATGACCTGCAGCCTTACGGTCATTCAGCCTTCCCATCCGCCCGTTCATCGTCAGTCTTGAAGGGCACATAGGTCCCTCTTCGGGCATCCTCGTACACTCCCTGACCAACTCGGGGCCCTTGTCAACACCGGACCTCCGGTTAGGCGCTGTGTGCCCCTGGCCGACACAGGAGCCCCTCATTGGCTCGGGGTGCACCGGCCAATGTAAATCGCAGCTCCTGACCATGTTCCTGCTTGGGAAATGGGCTCCCAGGCCCAGCCCGGGGCCCAATCGGTGCAACGGGGCCTCTGGCTGGTATTTGAGGGTCCGACCCGCGCCCCCTCAATGACCTTTAGCCAGCACTTCGGGTCCCATATCGGATTTACGGTGCTCCCATTTGAGATTTCGTCGTGGTCACCTGAATGCCACTTCAGGCTTAGGATCAATCACCTTCTCCCTACGAAAGTCCGACATCACGGGAAAACTGAGTTCGGTGAGGGGCAAAAAAGTGGAAAGTAACAAAAAGATCACCCAAAAACGTACGGTAACAAGCAGGGCGAATCCAAAGAGGGGAGCCGCAGGGCATGCCCCTCCCCCTTGGGCCCCGGAGGGGCCTATTGGCTCCGAGGGGGCCCATGGCCGATCGAACAGGTGCAGTTTTTCTAACACAAAGCGCAACAAAACTGTGTGTCTCTCGACTTCCAGGCCACCAGGGACAGTTGTAAGCGAAAGTGAAGTGCCTAGAGAAGTTCCAAAGATTACTCAATGATCAGAAAAGTTGTGAACTGGCAATTTTAACCCCCATTACATCGTCTAGGGCCCCATGCTTTTTCCGGGGGACCTATATGCCCTTTGCAGGCTCATTTCGGTCGTTAAGGAGCATTCCACGCTGTCCTTCATTTTTTTTTTTGCATTTGCTCGGAGGGCCCTGCGCTGTTGTTGGGCCCCTTCCTGTTAGCGTGCCGGGGCAGTCTTGTCAATCACGGGCCCTTCCACGAATTATTTCCATTCGCCAGAAAGGCTCTGTGAGCGGTAGCCAAAGTCCCATACCTTAATCTGCCGGGGTGTTCTCGGTTGCTCAGGAGCCCTTTACGTGGGTATCGCTTAACCTACCGACACACTTGCCATATGCCCATGGGTCCCTTACATTGGTCTAGAGCGTTTCCAATTCTCTGTCACTTGCTTAGGGCCTACACTCTTGTCGGGGGGGGGGGGGGGAGGGAGGGGAGGCCCACTTGATGGCCCGCTTGGGCACACTCAGTCGTTCGGAGACCGTCTACACTGGGTTTTTGGTACTTCTTTTTTAATGGGGGGCCCAACGCTTCTGTGGGAGGGGGGGGGGGGGGCTACCTGATAACCTGCTCGGACCCATTCGATTGTTCGGGACCCTCTATATTGGCCCTTGGACACGTGATATTTGAATGGGCCCTACGCACTTGTCGGGGGCCCCCTCTGTTCGCCTCCTCGGCCACACTGGATTGCTGATGGGCCCTGCACATTGGTTCTCGGTGTTTAAATTCGGGGCCCTCTGCCAGCATCGGGGTCATCTGATAACCTATTCGGGTACACTCAATCTTTCAGGGCCCTCCGCACGGGGTTTTAGGCACCTCTTAATGAGGTAAAAATAGGTATTAAAAATTAGGTACCTCTTAATCTAAAGCCCCTGTCGGGCCCCCCTCTGATAAGGTGCTCGGGCCCAATCGATCGTGGGGCACCTCTACGTCTGGTTTTGGGTGCTTCCTTTTCTAATGGGGTGCCCTCCGCTCTTTTCGGCGGCCCTATCCTTTCACCTGCTCTGGCGCACTCGGTTATTCGGGGCCCTCTACATCGTGCCGTGGGTAATTCATATCTTAACGGAAGGCCCTACACTCTTGCCGGAGCCCCATCTATTAACCTGCTCAGGCACACTCGAATATCCGGGGGCCCTCCACATTGTATCTTGGGTACTTCCTATCTGAATGGAGGGACCCACGCAATTGGCCGGGACCCCATCTGTTCGCCGCTTCGGCCACACTGGATTGTTCGGGGGCCCTATATATTGGGTCTTGGTGTTTGAACTTAGGGTCCTACCCTCCTCTCTGGGTCACCTGATAATCTGCTCGGGTATACTCCATCTTTCGTGGGCCCTCCGCGCCGGGTTTTGGGTACTTCTTATTTGGATGACGAGCCCTGCGCTCTTGTCGGGCTCCTTCTAATACGCTACTCGGGCGCATTCCATCATTATGGGGCCATTCATTTAGGATCTTCAGTGTTTCCCATTCGAATGGAGGGCCTTACGCTCTTGTTGGGAGCCCTATTTGTTTACCTGCTCGGGCACACTCGATCATTCGGGGGCCCTCTACCTTGGGTCTTGGGTATTTTTTTTATTTGAATGGAGGACTCTACACTTTTCACCGGGCCTATATGTCTACTTGCTCTGAAACACTAGATCATTCGAGGGTCCTCTGCAGTCGGTCTTGAATACTTCCTATTTGAATGGAGAATCCTACGCTCTTTTTGGGAGCCTTGTCTGTTAACCTGCTCGGGCACACTCGATCATCCGGGGGCCCTGTACATTGGGTCTTGAATACTTCCTATTTGAACGGAGGGCCCCAAACTCTTGACGGGGGCCATATATGTTAACCTGTTCTGGCGCGCTCGATCGTTCAGAGCCCTACACATTGCGTCGTGAGTACTTCTTATTTGAATGGATGACCCTATGTAGTTAGCGGGCCCCATTCATTAACCTGCTCGGGCTGGTAGCGCATGCAGAGGGTGGGGGGGGGGGGGGGGGGGGGGGAGGGGAAGTCACAGGACCATGCCGAGGGAACCTAAAGGTTCCGAAGGGGCCCATAACCGGCCGGACGGACGCAGTTTTCTTACAACAAAAGCACAACAAAATTGGATGACTTTGGGCCTACAGATGACCAAGAACCATTGCTAGCAAAAGTAAATAGTTCATAAGTAAACGAAGATCATTCTTCGCTGACTTAGAAAATGTTGCTTGGGGAAAATTTTGTGGCGCCTTACGCTGTCTAGAGGCATTACGCTGCTGGCTGCCTGTCCCTATAAGTCCACTTCCGGCGTCAATCTGATCGCTTAGGAGCTTTCCACGTTCCCCGTGATCTCTTCCCATTTTGTCGTAGGGCCCAATGTGCTGTTGGAATGCTATCTGCCTCCATGCCTGAGCACCGTTGATCAATCGGGTTTTCCTCCGCGGATTCTTCCCATTTGTCCGAAATGCTTTTACACTTTTTCCGGGGCCGCATGTGCCAGAGTACACCCAGTTGCTCATATAAATTTCAGGTTCTTTCTACTTGCTTGAAGGGCCTTGTGCTGTTCCTAGGGCTCTAATAAGGTAAGGCACGGAGACACTCGATACTCAGGGGCCCTTTACTTTGATCGAGGGCGTCTCCCTTTGTTCTGATTTGCGGCTGATTTTTCACTCCTATCGAGACTCGTGTTGTTAATCTGCCCGTACGCTCTTGATTGCACAGGGGTATTAAGTTATAGTGTTGAATAATTCCCCTTTGCTCGGAGGGTCCTGTGCTATGACCGGTCATATGTCGGCCTGTCAAGGCACTACCGATCGTTTATGGGCCCACCACGATGGCCTTCAGTTCTTTTTGCTTGCTCTGAGGACCCTTTACTTGTTGACGGGAGTCAGTTTGTTGGTCTCCTGCGGCACCCATGACCGCTCAGGTTCCGTCCCTATTGGCTTTGGTGCTTTCGCCTTTGAGCAGCAGTCGAATACGCGCCGATGAATTTTTAGGCGCCATTGCCGAACATAATTCTACGTGCCGGCGCCGTCGTATGCGCCATTTCCACCGACTATTGAGTGTGTCACACTCATTTAGATTTACGGTCAACCCTCGCGGGATCCTCAACATCTTTGTAGGGCGCGGACTCCCTCCCCTGGCATCAGAAACTACGGTGCTGTCCGATATGAAAGTCCCAAGTTATAATTCATTCCGCTTAGAAGTGAAGCGAGTTCACATCATCACGCCACGTCGATAGACCATGAAGCCACCCATTTAACAGCGGCCGTCGTCGAGATTTGAACCCAGGCTTCCCGCGTGCGAGACCAGCACGCTAACCATCGATCCACTGGAGATGCGGACCCGGCGGCCGATAATTCGTGATCAGAATAGGACTGGTTCAGAGTGAGTTGATGGATTTCGTGATCGTTTGATGTCTATCACGCACAGAGCCGGCTTTTTGCACGGGATTCTGCATTTTTGCGCTTGCTTCCCTCCAAGGCCGCCATCCGCGTGTGCTTGACACGAACAACCATCTGAAAGATTTTTGGAGGGTGTATAAGACCGGTGCCCTCTGTTTTGGAGGGTGTATAAGCCCGCTGCGTAACCGCCCTCCGTTTTGGAGGGCGGATGCGCACTGCCAAAGTCATAATAGCTGATGCCTTCCAGCTGAAGGTATCACACTGGAAGGGGATCAATAGTGTGTCAACGGCGATTATAGTGCTTTGCGTTGTACCCGGTTGCATGGTTCCCAGTCTAAGCACTCCAAAGTTAATCCAGTTCGGTGTGTAGGATGTAAAAACAAATGCATTCTACCAGCATTCTGGTTCCTGGTGGCCTCCACTACCATTGGTTGTTAGCTGGTATGTTGTCATATGACCCCAAACCCTGACTTCTGACCTGTCCAGCCGATTCGCCTGCCCCGGGGCGCCTACGTGCTGGGTTTACGGCCGGCCTGCTCAGTGCTCATTGGACAGCTTTGCACGAGGTGAGGAGCAACGGGCAGTGATGCCCGATGCGGGATTGTGAAAGCACGCAAAACATCGACATATCGTGACGTTCAAAATTTCGGTATTGCGCTCCTGATCCGAACTGGTCAAATGTCGCCGCACTGACCAGTCCAAGTGACGTAGTGCGTTATGAAGCTGGATGGTGACGTCATTGCTCCCACCATCGTGTGATCTCCATATAGCATTGCCTTGTTTTATCGAGTCTTGCGCATGTGTGGCGACACCGCGGAAATGTGTGAACCATTGACCTGTACAAGTCTAGACAGCCTACTCCCATTGGCGCCGCGACCGGCCGGTTGTTCCCGTCTTGCGACGCTAGCGCCATCACGCGGAGAGGGGGAAGAGTTAGCTTCGCAATGGTAATCCTATGGCGGATGGCCGACCTTCGGAGGCGTGATTGGGAAATGATGGGAGCGAAGGCCTTGACAATTCTGGGGCTGTTTAAGACATCAATTTTACCCAATACGGCACAGCAAAGGTTGCTCCAAGGGCATGGGTAGCGGCTTGACAGCTTGATCTAGGCATACTGATTTAGCAATTTTGCGTCGTAGCAAAAGTGGGGGAGGGGTAGGCAGGGTAATATCTGGTCCCAGAAGAAAAAAGATGGTCCTTCTAAGACAGAAAAGATGCAATAACGATATGTAGTATCGTCCGCTCTCACAGCCCGACCAAACACTAAGTCAGGTGCTACCGTGAGTATTTGCCCAATACTTCGGTAATAACAACAATAACAATAATATAACGTCCGAGGCGTCCGAACACGCCGCGCCCCCGCCACGCGCCACCACCCAAGGCCAACTCTCTCGCGCAACTCCCACTTGCCTGGCGCGTAGGCGCCCTGAACAACTGCCATACACCACATGATAACGTTGGAAACAGTTGTTTTAGCCCTCATCTGGATGTGTTCCTCTGCAACGTTCCAGCGGGCAGAGGGGCCGGGCCAGTCGTATCACCCTCTCCTGGCTCGTGGCTTCGGCTTGAGATAGTCAGAAGCAAAGCCGAGAAAGATAATTGCCATGAATGTTAGCCAGCTGTATCCAGTTTTAAATGTATTCGACAGCTGGGTTCTCCCAGGTCGGATCGACGACCCAAAGTCGTTGGAAAGCGCGAATCTTTTCGCAGGCGGCACTTCGGCAGACGCCAGTTTCATCATTTGCATCAGCCTGTTGGGAGACGGAGGACATTCTTACGTCTTTGTTTGTGGGCGAAGCAACTGCCCCGGTGGGTTGCTGAAGTTCAGGGTATGGTTATTCCTTTGTGTGCACTGCATGCATGCTGTTCACCTGCGTGAGAGAATAGGTCTGTCCCCATCTACACTCAGATAAGACCAGAGCTCATGTCTCGATTTGGTACGTTACAAGAATATAAGCTACGTCCAGCACCGTCGGCTCGGTACTCCTGCGAGCTGTGTAGGCACCAAGATATGCGCATAGTGTATCGTGTTGTTCAGAATATGTACACCGTACTATTGACAACGTTAATGCACAAGACTTACACGTCGACACATATTACAGCCCCAAAACTATGCATAGTATATTCTGTTGTTCAGAGTATGTACACCGTACTACTAACAATGCTAATGCACAGGACTTGCATGCCCACGCACCTTACAGCCCCAAAACTATGTAACTAGTAAATCTACTTGCGGTCGCCAGTACAGGTATTTACTGATGTATTTCACTACTGGTGTGCAAAGAGCACCTGCTTGTACAGGTTGTGCCTCACATGGGTGCGGAGCATTCCACTCACTGTAGCATTCTGTCCATAGGCATGGAGACGGACACGCAGATACCTGGCCACGATCTGCTTTACCATTACCACAGCATGGCACTCATCCGCTCGCGGCTCGAACATATGGTCTTGCACACCAGGGAACAGTTCGTGGCTGCGTTCAGTCATTAACTGCGCCAGGACACTGCACTTGATACTCAGTGACAATTTCGCTCGGTCCATCTTACGACACTTATGCAAAGCGGTCAAATACCGCTCAGCTGTCGTGACGATCGCGTACGTCGACGCTGACGGGATGAGCAGCCCGCCGTTGCCCCGCACTTTTACGAGACCCATCACTTCATGCGACGGAGGGTTGTCCTCGTTGCACAGAAGTGCACCAATGCACTCACCACACCCGATCGCGCTCGTTTCCACCAGCTTGCGGCACACATAGCCGGAGATGTAGCCAACACAGTTGTCAACGAACCCCGAGCCGGTGTCCTCCGTCGTGAGGAGATGCTGCACGACCGCCGGCATCGGGTCACTCTCGCTGAGCGTCGGCCGCTGCCGTTTTGGACGACGGATCTGGAGCAGGCCGTCGTCACCTTCATCCCGTGACGTGCAGCTCCCGGTGGCAGATGGCGATATGAAGCTGTGCAGTATGAGTCTGCGCATGGCATGTTGCAGTTGGGCCACGTTTGGGTTGTTGTTGAAGCCGCCCATACGTCGGATCCGGCCAAACAGCAGCTCTAGATGGTCTTGGGACACCTTGTATGGCAGTACATAGACGAACCCCTCCTCCAGCAGGGCCTCACTGATGTCCATGACGGTCTGCGTCGCGAGACAGAGACCCAGGACCGGGGTGAAGCGTCGCGTCTACAGTACCGGTTCGTCTGATGCTGTATGCAGCCGGAACAGCACGGAACTGAAGTCGGCCAGAAACTCACATCGGAGCCTTGCGGAAATGATTATCAGTCAGCACACTCAAAAAGGAATAACAGCAACATCTATAGCCTTTACTGAGGCAATTACTGGGCCACAAACCGCCCTTACAACATGATGTTCAAAATGAATTGGTGATAACCAGATGTCGCCCAGTCGTTACATTTTGTTTGTGGGGGAGCGGGCAGTTCACGCGTTCTTGATCGACGACCGGGGTGGGGATTGCCCATACATATCTGAATGGCCAATTTCGCCTGGTGGTTGGAAGGGGTGATGGGGTGGGGGTGGGGAGCATAAGACATAAGTGGCCAGCGGCAGGGAGATAAGACATATTTTTGCCCCACATTTCACTTATGGACATTTTGCTCCTATCGCTTGATCTGCCTATGGAGATAACGGGCGATCACAAACAAAAGCACATCACGCCATATGCCAACGCCATTCTCAAAGAACATTTCACTAGCATGATTGTTGATGCTGTGTAAGTGATAGCTGGCATTTGGCAATCGTAATATATTTCCTTAGGGGAAAGAAAACACACACCCTTTCGATTTATCAGGCTGTTCTTAATGCTACTTTATTTAACTCACATCAAGTTGTTGGCAGTTACAGGAGTCTTGAAGCCCTTCCCGTAGGGGTTGCTGTTGTTGAGGTAGTCGAATGCCTGATCAACCAGCAGGATGAAGCGCGCCGTTGCCCCCGCTCCGATGAACTCATGGTGGCCCGACTCTTCTAGGTACAGCAGAGCTTTGCCCACCGAGCTGCTGAACAGCTGGGCAGCAGGCTTAACTTTCATTTTGTTCTTTTCGTACTGGACGTGTAGGCGAGAGAGCTTGTTGGCCGCCCGGATACCCTCGCTGTGCTGCAGGTCGTACAGCGCCTGTGAAGGCATCCACAATCGTTATTTTACCTTGGCTGCAGAGTACTGAAAAGGAGCTGAACAGGTTCAGTCATTAGTGTAAGAGTATCGCCGTGCTCTCAGATTAAGTTAAGTCTCTCAAGTCTCTACCCATGCATCTACACGCCAACTGCACAGATGATCGGATATATGTATGCAGAAAAACAGAGTGATACTTAAGTAAAAAGTAGTCTTTTAGCATTATACTTGGTGTTACTGGGACTGAATTACTACTAAATCATTTATTATTACTATTACTACTAAATTTGGCATCCTCTTACCTAAATATACTTCCAGGACACCTCTTCACCATCCAGTTGAAGGCTCTTGCATTCAACAAGGAGGTTTCGCAGCAGTTTCAGCATGTGCACCACATCCAGCAGAACATACACCTTCTGGTTGGTTGCAGGATGCAGGAAGTAGTTAGGAACAATGGGAAGCTGAAGTTGTTTTAGCTGCAGGTTCTGAACGGCCAAGTGCCGAACATGGACAGGTTGGCTTGGAGTCCATCGGCCACGAACGCTCGCACCTTCAGTCCTGCATCGCTCAAAGCACACAGGACAGTCTTGGCTAGTTCTGTCTGAGTCTCACTTGAAATGTGGTCTATGAGAAAGTAGGCGACAGGATGGCGCCACACACCTTTGAGACCAACGCCCATGAACACTAGGGCATTTGTTGCCAGTCTCGTGTCCTCCACGTCCCCTGCACCCAGATCAACATGACCAACGAACTTGTCTTTGGGTTGCCAGTACACCTTCGCCTTCCGGATCACCCTCTCACCAACCATCAAGCAGCAGTTGGGGTCGATTTTCTTGGCTGTCACTTCACAGCACAGCGTCTGTAGCACCTCGTGGAGGGCGCCCACCTCACAGCTGACGCTTCTCGTCCACTCTCGTAGCGATGTTGCACCCGGCAGAGAGAAGTTCTTTGAGAGGAACCTATATGCTCTCGGGGAATTGTAGTGGAAGGTGAGACAGAGCTTCTTGATTTCTTCTGAATACCTCTGGCCACTTCACTTCTTCCTGCCACCATTGACAACTTCGTTGGTGAAAAGCGCTGACACCATTGGGTTTTCAAATCGAGATCGGATCACCCCGAGAAGCTCGGCATCGACGATCCGGCTTTCTTTGAGGGCATCCATAGTACTTTTGAGGCATTTGAGTCGCCTGCCGCGCCTCTGCAGCTTCTGTTGCAGCTTCTTCTGCTCGTAGAGCAATTTTCGAACCTTTGCAGCCATCTTTTTCAGTGGACTGGAAATGTGTCGAGTTGTTGCACTTGCGCTATAGCTTCCCATGGCAAAACCGAGAGTCCACAAGACCTTTTAGAGGCGCAAGGAACCTTTTCTACCTGCCCGCTCGCTGTCTCGCCTTCGCTGCCTCCCTCCCCCCCCCCCCCCACACGCATAGACGGATCCTGAGGGGGGGGGGGCACGGGGCCACACACACCCAAAAAGACTGAGGGTATGTTTTGACTCCCCCAAAACATTCGCAGAACTTCATAAAAGTTTCGTCTACTTACCATCTGTTTCAGCTTCACTGTTTTAACTGTTTTGTTTTAACTTCTGTTTAAGATTCAAAAGCATTTCGGTGCTTGAATGGCGTGCCTACTAGGTACTCGCGAGAGGCACCATGCACTGGACCTCGGATTCCACACCAGCCAGCTGGCGACGAACGGTTGCCCCCCCCCCCCCCGAAAAAAACAACTCCAGGCTAGATCCGCCCCTGCCCCCACGCACTCACCCCTCCTTTTAGCAATCTTACCGAGGCTATCACTGACTATTATTTTGATGCCTCCATTTTCAGATTATCATTCCCCTTGGCAAAAACTGAACTCAATGACAGGGTCTTTGTGTTGTGTTAGATGTGTGAAAGCTGCTGTGTGCACCTTTGGTGTGCTTCGTATTATTCTGTTGCCAATAGTTATTCCTCTCACTTTGCCATTGTCGACGATGCTGCTGACGTAGGATAGACCAATGATCGTCATGCTGCAGGTCTCCGACATTTCTTGCTGTTCAGGACGGATCTAGCCTGGAGTTTTGGGAGGGGGGGGGGGGGGGCAACCGTTCGTCGCCAGCTGGCTGGTGTGGGATCCAAGGTCCAGTGCACTTATCAAACACGATGCAAACGCGCCGAGTATGACTAAGCCGTGTCAACATGCGTTTTGTTTTCATATTCAAACCGCTGCCAACTTTTCTTCACGAATTTGTTTTTCCAGAACGGAAAGAAATGTTTGGTACCGCACCATCAAAGTTAAAACAGACGGTAAGCAGACGAAACTTTTATGAAGTTCTGGGAATGTTTGGGGGGGGGGCCAAAACACACTCTCAGAGTTTTTGGGGGGCCATGGGCCCGGGCCCCCCCCCCCCAGGATCCGCCTATGTTGTTGTTGTGTATTTGTGAATCAGTATGTTTTGCCCGTTTCAGATAAATCACAAGGCAAACTTACGGTCCCGTTTTCTATCGCACTGGCGTGTATGCCAGTTTCGCATCTCCAAACCATAAACACTTAATTGTGGTGGGATTTTGACCGCCCTGAACTTGGTAGAGTTCACATTTTTTACTGGCTCTCATGGCTATATATATATATATATATATATATATATATATATATATAAATGATGGATAAATTCGATCAATCGGAGTCATCAAAAACTTATGCGTTTGCAGTGTTGGTCACACAATGTTTCTCAAATGCCATTCTAGCTGATTGAAAGTGGCTAAATGTGTCCGCGCAGGTTCCGGCACTGGCAGATGGTGTGGTTTGCGTCTCTTGCCCTGTCAGGAGCGTCCAGCACCGCTCCAAGTGGTCTGACAGGGGCAGCCGACCCTGCGTCGCCGGGACTGTCGGGAACAGCGTCACTTGAGCGGGAGGAGGAATGCGCCGGGGTGCAGCGTGCGTGGACTGAGTTGGCTCAGCGGCTTATGGGTGCTCATGGATCCAAACTGGGGAGGACTGCAGACGCCGTCATGCGGCGCTGGCACCATTCTAGCAGTGCCGGTCGGCATCCTATGCTGCACGGCCGTGCGCGAGCCCGGGGAAGAAGCGTCACACGCATCGACGTCCATCCAACGACAACGCTGCACCGCCACTCCGCTAACTTCCGTGACCGGGCCCATTTGCCTGCTGATTGGCCGGTCAAAATGTCAAAAACTGCGGAGTACGGCTTAAATGCAGCAGATGGTCAACGAGCGACTGTAACTCACAACCTCGCTGAGACTGTGGCACTGCAAATCATGCCCCTGAACGATAGAACGACATGCAGCGACAAAGGCGCACAATATTCTGTAGGGAGACTAGGTTTTGATAAGGTCAAATATTGAATGACTGCGAGCACGCGCGCACACGAGCAAGACGTGACAAGTCGTTCATCGGCTCACTGGTCTTCCGCAGGACAAAATCATAATGCTCGAGTATGGAAATGAGTAATGGAAATGATCGAGATGGAAAATCCAGCTTATGCCTTTCGTCTCCTTCCCCTTTTCCAGCGCTAGATGCCGATCTCTATCTAACTCGTTGAATGTGATATTTATAGGCCGCAAGAACTAGATGGCTACTGGCTACCCTGTACTGCCTTGGAGCTGAGAGGTGACTATGGAATGCGGATCCTCTGAGCAAATGGTAGAGTGTCTTGCGGGAGGCGTTGGTGGTGGAGATGGTGGGCTGAAGTCGAGCCTCTAAACTTTCGTAACATGCGCCCGGATGGTCGGTTGAATGCTCTTTCGTCGCTCGGGTGGGGTTAGCGTGATCTCCCTGAGATCCCAGAATCTAAAAGAGTTAGAAACGCTAAATTCACATGATATATTGGCCTGCACGTGAACTCACTTGTGTCGGGTTTTTAAGTTCCTAGGTTTTGGGTCAAATAAGGCCAAACAAGGTCAAACTCCGGGGTAGTGTCCAAGTGCTCCCAGAACCCTGATACCTCTTCTAGGCAAAAGGTCACAAGGTCATTTCAGGTCAGTGACCTTGTTTGAACTTTCTAAGGTTGTGGTGACCAAAATTGCTTTGACTTTGCATTTGAATGGGCGTTAAGGGTAACGCCAGGCAGTATGTTTTCAAAAAGCAAGATGTCGACCCGGGCAGTTGTATGTCAGTGACCTATTCTGACCTTTAAAAAGTTTGTGAGGTATGCATGATGCGGTTCCTGTTATCTACAAATCAAAAAATGAGCATCAATAACTGACTAATACGGCAAGTTTTATAGTGATAAAACAGGTTCGTTTTGATCTTGGTCTGACCTTGATACTTGACTCTAGATCAATGGAATTTGTTAATTCAATTGTTATGTTGCTAAGAAACCATCTTAGAAATGTATGGCTTCGTCTAACACCTTGCTATTGTATCAGTTTGAACGATTCCTCCTAAATTGTTTTCGCTAAATCCATGGCCTGGATTTGGCCTGCCGTAGGTCAGCGACTTTGCAAGGTACATCTTAATTTCTTATACCACACTATCTGCTCTTCAGTTGTCTACAGCTATGCAAAACTTCGCGCGGCTTCACTGCGCCGTTCGGAAGTCACTAAAAAAAATCGTGGAGGGGTTCAGATTGATCTCCCACACCCCCTGAGTGCGTCTTCGGTGCGCATAATTTCCATGGGGGGGGGGGGGTTGACTGCAAGGAAATAAAACTGCCTCCCCTCTGTCTCGTTATCTGTTCGTTCGCGCCTTCCCAGCTCCGGATCACACACACGACGCTCCACAGTTGGCGTCTGTATTTGAACTGTCCCGTCGGAGTCCAACGGAATCGCGCCAAGGTACACGGTGGCGTACAAGGTACAATAGCGATGTGGGGAACTGGCTCCTAAATTGAGGACGCCATACATTTAACATGAGACATCACATGACATCTCCTTCCCCCCCCCCCCCCCCATTAACAAAGGTAGTCAGCGAGGCGCGCCGGTTAATGACGGGTGCACTGTGAACGTCGGGGAAAGCCGGACGGTCGCCACGATCTGCCAGAACGGTGTTGGGACCGGGCGACAAATCTGGTCCGAGTG